TATATATATATATTATATTTATTTATTTATATATACACATGCTTATGTGTATACAGATTTATGTGTGTGTTTATATTAGATACACACACACACACACACATACACGCAGAGACACACACACTGCCCATCTTTTTCTCCATGGCAAGTGGAAGCAACCGCTGGCGCAAATAAAATAGGAATGACTCGCAAACTGTCTATACGCTACCTGTGGTTCCGAACACATTGTTACGCCTTAAGTCATGGAAGCCAGTTCGATAACAATGCAACTTTTCTGCAAATGACTTCTGTCAGCCTGGCTTTTATCCGCAACAACTTTCTATTATTACTATTATTTCAGAGAAACTTTACTATGAATTGTTTACACGATTTCACAATAATCTCATTGGGCCTGAGTACGCCCGTGGTTGCGGTCAGCGTCTATTTCAGTTCTTTATTAATCTTTCATCACACAATCTCTGACAATCTCTTACCTACTGCCACACAGGAACTCAAGATCAGAGAAAAAGAAAAAGAAACAGAAGGGAGAAAGACTCGGAATCCATATTATCTTAAAAGTAGTTTTCTCGCGCATGTGAAGTATTCGCATCCCTTTTAGCGAGGCATCGCCGAGAGAGACGCTTTCATATTGACGAAGGGAGCACGGTCATCTGGTCGGCAACCCGTGACATGGTGTCATTCTTATTATTAATACTGTCATTATTTCCTTCAGTGTTATGTTTATATCTAAATTAGCTTCATTTTTATATCTTTTATCCCTATCATTACCAATTTTGTACTCGTTCTTCATTAGCTTTATTATCAACAGTACTCTTTTCATTACTATCATTGACACTAGTCTTATGGCTCCTGTCACCAGCACAGCATGTTATCCAGGTGCTATTGGAAAGTAATATGGATGGAATAATAGGAAATACCTCATTCACTTTCAGTCTTTACTAACCTTGGAGACGCGCTTCAGACTGCGCGGACGGGGCCAACGCGCACCTGGCGTATATATAAGCTCGGTAATAACGACTGAGCAGTACGCGTCTCTCGTGCCTATCTGTGTGTCTCGTCATGTCTCTTACGTTGGTATGTTCTGAAAACATTGCCAGTTAAACCCGTCTTTACTGTACAATCTAAAGACCACGAAATATTGATTTTATTCTAATGCCGATTTCTGCTTTCCAGGCGGTCGTTCTGGCATGCGCCGGAGTCGCGCTGGGCTCCGTCCATCCCCCGGTATATGGCCATCACCCACAGCCCGCTTACGGTCACCATGCGCCTGCTTACGGTCATCATGCGCCTGCTTACGGTCACCAGCCTGCCTACGAGCACGGTTACTGCGACCCAAGTGTCGCCCCCGCCTGCGCTGCCAACTCCACTCTCTCCTACTGCTTGGAAGACGCTGAGTACCCCGAGTACGAGATCAAGGCTGCCATCACTGCCGATCACCTCTTCGCCAAGAAGTACGCTGACGTCGCCGACCAGTCTGCTGACGACCTGGTAGACATGATTACCAAGGACCAGGAGGAGGCCTTCGACTACTCTTACTACACTGGGGCCTCCACTGGGGACTCTCCTTACGATGCCACCCACTGGGCTGGTCCTGAGGGTTACATCTGTCCCTCCGAAGTGGTGTATGCCATGCCCAAACGTGCCCAGAATGTGGAAGGCAAGTGGCGCGTCATTGTCAACGACGTGCACTATTACAGCCAGACTGCCCGCCTCGAAACCTGTCTCTTCCCAGAGGCTGCTTGCCGCGCCCTTGCTCCTTGCTACCAGAGCCACTGCACCCAGAAGTCAGTGTACCACCGACTACTCTCCTACGATCCGTGCGACCCCTACAAGGGTCTCTTCATCGACATCTACAAGATGCCCTCGGCCTGCTCCTGCCATCTTCCCGCCTAATGCGCCACTACGACGCTGCTCAACGGATCGCCACTCTTCACACACCAACACCTAACACTCTATGGCCACAACCCCTGCAAGGCCGCCCCTTAATGCGGAGGAGAACACCCCACGTGACTGGAGAACTGCTTTCTTCACGTACCGCCACTAGCCATGCCAGGAACTCCCGGGACGCTCCGCCGCTGCTCTCTCTCTCTCTCTTCCCTTTCAATTTCTTCTTTATTATCCATACGAAAGATAAATGCGAGCACATTGTAATATTTTTGCAAATAAATTATTGTTGAACTTATCTATATGAATTCTTATTCCACGACTTTGTCTTATAATAATATAAACGAAGGTGCTCAAAAATATCGTTTCCATGGAGCATTTATCTCAATAGGGTAATGATGACGAAAATAGTGATGATAATCATAATGAAAATACATTATAATGAAAGAAATGAGAATGGTAATGAAAATTATAATGCTAAAAATAAGGACTGCATCCATAAACATCACACAGAGTATGACAATGATAATATGAGTAACAGAATGATGTCCATATGACAAAAATAACATTGGCACAATCATGGTAAAAATGACAATAGGACCATAATGTAACCATTGAT